CGAGAGGCAAAGGACCGCGTGCTGTTCATTGGGAGCCAACTGGCTTGGATGGAACATCCGATGGAAACGAGGCCTGGTGTACCACAGAACGGAGGAAACGACCTTGTGTTCGACCGGCCATGGTGGAAACGGGATCCTGTTCATCGGGAGGGGTCTGGCGTACCGCAAAACAGAGGAAACGGACCTCCTCGATCGAAATGGGGTCCTATTGATCGGGAGGGGTGTGGCGTACCGCAAAATGGAGGACATGGACTTGTGTTGGAGTGCTACGGTCGAAACGGGGGTCCTGTTCATCACGAGGGGTGTGGCGTACCGCAAAACGGGACTCCACGGGATACTGTTCATCTCCACCGTCGACCTCCTCCAGCCTCCACGGGCTACTGTTCATCCACCATCGACCTCCTCCAACCTCCACCTGCGACTGTTCATCCACGGGCTCCTGTTCATCCAGCCTGCACCGGCTACTGTTCAACCAGCCCTCTACACGGGGTCATGTTCAACCACCCCTCCACGACTACTATTCATCCACCCCTCCACCGGCTACTGTTCAACCAGCCCTCCATGGGGCCTGTTCACCCAGCCCTCCACGGGGGCCTGTTCATCCACCAGCTCGATCGATCGGGGTACTGTTCATCCAGTGGCAATGGCCTCTACTACCACGGGTTCTTCTTCATCCAACCCTTACCGGGAACTGTTCATCCAAACCCCCCAACAACGCTCATTGTTCATCCAGAGGCAGCATCGATCGACGTCGGTTAGCAGAAGTAGCAAAGGAATCGCTCGATCGGGTTCAGCTAACAGCCATTGATAGATCGCTCGGGTTCAGTAACGTGTAGCCTACAGTGCAATCGCTCGGGTTCAGTTAGAGCCCAACACCTCGCTCGGGTTCAGTTAGAGCGCAACGCCTCGCACACACTCTCGTACGTACGAGAGAAACACTCATTGATCGGCCCCCGTAAATGGTCATGAGGTTGTGAACATGGATGCATTGGTACTTATTGCTATGACTCGGCGCCACCGCATCAGTTTTGCCTATGTGTCATGTCCATGTGTCAATTTTTGCCCTAGCTTGTGAAGCAACCTATATTTCCGTTGTTCCCAAAATTCCCAAAATTCTCATAAATTCTTTGGATCATATATTCGTCAAATATGTAAAAACCTTCCCCACCTAGTTCAAATATAATTCAACAGTATTCATTTTCTTACTCTGTTCAGAATAGCACTTTGTGAAGGAAGTGCTATTTATATATATATTTGATTGACCTCAAACTTTTTTGGCACTCTTTCCTATCCAAATCATTGCCTCATGACAAAATTTGGCTCCATTTTCCTAGTAAATGTTCCTCGGCAAATTTCCAAAGTTTTTGTTCAGCTAGAAGCTTTGTGAAGGAAGTACCATTTTTATATATCCAAATGACATGAAATTTATATAGTTCCCTCATATGCCCAAATTATCACCCTCCTCCAAATTGCAGCTCAGTCAAATCATCTATGTGAGCCCAGGTTCAATTTATATTTTATGGCCAGATTGGCACGTTGCAAAGCAAGTGTTATCTAGACCCCTCCTATTACCCTCAAACTTTTTGGCCACTCTTCCATACCCAAATCATTGCCACATTATAATATTTAGCTCCATTTTCCTAGTAATTTTTTCTCAAAAAATTTCCAAAGTTTCGATCTCAAGAGAAGCTTTGTGAAGTAAGTACTAGCTAGGCTTACCCAAATGATCTGAAAATTTACCAGGGCATGACCATACCTATGTAACCTACCTACACCAAATTTGAGCTCATTTCATTTATCCAGTTTCTCTCGCTAATTTTCCCAAGTTTCTGTCCAGAGAAGAGCATTGTGAAGGAAGTACCACTTTCGCTTGTCCAAATGGTATCAATTTTCTACAGTGCTTTCCTATTCCCAAATAACCATCCTCCACCAAATTTCAGCTCAATCCAGTCATTAGTTTGAGCCCAGCTTCAACATCCATATTTCTGCCCGATATGGTACTTTGCAAAGCAAGTGCCATCCAAACTCCTCCATTTGAGCTAAAAATTTGCCAAGACAGTCTCCCTTGTAGACGATCATACTTAGCCAAAACTCACGCCCATTGGCCTTGTGAATTTCCCATGCCGCTAATCAAACACTTGCCTGTTAATTCATGTTTGAGCATAGTTCGGTCTCCTCGTGAGATTATTCTATTGTTATTTTCTTTCTAGCATCTACATGGGGAGTGCCCAACCTACTAGACATGCCTAGGCTGCCCATAACGCATGGCAACGCCACGGTCACGCGGTGACCACGCAGCGGGCATGCGAGTCTACGCGCTTTGGAGTTGGGGCCCTGGGCCACCATCCAAATATCAACGTATTACCACCAAACCATGTATTTCTGATTAAATATATACTTATGTAATTAGAAATGATTTTTGGAAAAAGTAAATAGCAAACTATAAGGCAGCTGCAGTTCAAATTTGACCCGATTCTTGCTGAATCGGCGGAAATTTGTCTTTTTCACGAGAGGTGGATCAAAACTTCTAAAACCTAACCATTTTGTCAATTTTGCATTAAATATGTCCTAGTATTTTATAAAATTTATTTGGTGCAAATTTGCAACAAATATATGGTAGGTCCTTCACAAAAAAACTCATTTTGGGCACTCGAAAAATGGAAAATTGATTTTTTGTCCGAAGAAAATGAAAAGTTCCTTAGGCAACATTGTTTGCCATTCTAATATGCACCCTTGTGCACAATATGAGATCATTTGAACAAACTATGCCATGAATGTGGCCATAAGATTGAGCATTTGGGTTGAAAGCCATGAATCTTCACACATGATAGCTCATTTTTGAGAACACTTTTTTAAAATAATTGTTGTATTAAAAGTTTATTATCTTTCCTGGTAACTTGGTCACATATAATGACACAATGCGAAGGTTTTCCAATCTTTTGATTTTTTTGAATATTTTACTTCTGTTTCAAAATGCGGTCAAAACGGCGGGAATGACCATCCTAGCTAGTAGTTGAATCTTGGATTTTTTTTGGTGTTTCTATGATTAAATAGATACTTATGTAATTATAAATGATTTTTGTAAAAAATAAATAGCAAACTATCAGGCAACCGCAGTTCAAATTTGACCCGCTTCCAACTGAATCGGCGGAAATTTGTCTTTTTCAGCAGAGGTGGATCAAAACTTTTTACACCCAACCATTTGGTCAATTGTGCATTAAATATGGTCTAGTATTTTAGAAAAATGATTTGGTACAATTTTGCAATAAATATTTGGTAGGCCCTTCACAAAAAACCATTTTGAGCACTCGAAAAATGGAAAATGATTTTTTCGTCTAAAGAAAATGAAAATTTCCTTAGGCAACATTGTTTGTCATTCCAATATGCACCCTTGTGCACAATATTAGATCATTTGAACAAATTATGCCATGAATGTGGCCATAAGATTGATAGCTCATTTCTGAGAACACTTTTTTAAAATAATTGCCGTATTACAAGTTTATTATTTCTCCTGGGAACTTGGCCACATATAATGACACATTGCGAAGGTTTCCCATTTTTTTGAATTTTTCATTGACATTTCAAAATACGGTCAAAACAACAGGCATATCCGTTCCTATCTAGTGGATGAATCTTGGAAAACTTTTGGTGTTTCTCTGATTAAATAGATACTTTTGTACCTAAAAATATTTTTGGGAAAAATAAATAGCAAACTATGAGGCAACTGCAGTTCAAATTTGACCCGCTTCCTACTGAATCGGCAAAAAAATGTTTTTTTCATGAGAGGTGGATAAAAGCTTTTGACATAAAACTATTTGGTAAATTGTGCATTAAATATGGCCTAGTATATTAGAAAATTGATTTGGTCCAATTTTGCAGCAATTATTTGGTAGGTTCTTCATAAAAATTCATTTTGGGCGCTCGAAAAATGGAAAATGATTTTTTCCTCCAAAGAAAATGAAAACTTTCTTAGGCAACATTGTTTGCCATTCCAATATGCACCCCCATGCACAATATGAGATCATCTGAACAAACTATGCCATGAATGTGGCCATAAGATTGATCATTTGGCTTGAAAGCCATTGATCTCCATAGATGATAGCTCGTTTCTGAGAATACTTTTTTAAAATAATTGTTGTATTAGAGGTTTATTATTTTTCCTGAGAACTTGGCCACATATAATGACATAATGCGAAGGTTTTCCATTTTTTTTGAATTTTTCATGCCCGTTTCAAAATGCGGTCAAAACTGCGGGCAGGACTATTCCTAGCTAGTGGTTGAATCTTGAAAACTTTTGCTGCATCTCTGATGAAATATGTAGTTGTGCACCTTAAAATGATTTTTGTGAAAAATAACGAGCAAGATATGAAGTAGGTATAGTTCAAATTTGTCCCGGTTCCAACTAATTGTGAAGAAACCCATTTAAATGGCCAGAAATAGATAGAAAGATCCGAAATGCATTAAAGTTGATGATCATCCAGAAAATGTGATATAATTTGAGTGAAAATTTTAGTGGTGCCATTTTGCAAAATATTATTGGTACTTGCTTCACAGTTTCCTATGTTTTTAGCACTTAAAAGCTATTTTAAATGACAAAATCATCGAACCAATCAGGACCTCTCCCCCGGATCACTCCAGCGTATGCAATCTGAGCCGTCCACAGCCTATGGATCCAACGTCTCTCCTTGCTTCCGCCGGATCACCTCACTCACCTCTCCTCCCTTCCTTCTGTCGCTTGCCACACTCTCCCTCTCTCCCTGATCCAGATCGGCCGCCTATCCCTCATCCAAACCCTACCCTCCAGTCGCTGGCGGCATCGTCCTCCTTCCCTCACGCCGCACTTGTTGCTGCACCTCCCACGCCCGATCCCGGCCAGGGCGTAGCAGTCGGCACCCTCGTGGAGTGGCATGCGGCGCTGGCAACGGGGTCTGGCCAGCGACGCCGAGATCTACTATGGCACGACGCCGACACAGTCAGCCATGATTGCCTGTAGCTTCCACATGCCCAGCAATGGCTACACGGTCGTAGTGCCAAGGTCCACCATCTGCTCTCGATCCCAGCCCCCTCCCCTCACCTCCGCCGGATCGCCGCTCCCGCGAGCCTAACGATGGTCGTCTTCCCCGCAGGACGGAGGTGCATCGGGATGGGGACTGCCACCGGGCAGTGCACGTGTGGATCTACTATGAGAGCACCGGGGAGTTGTTGCTGCAGCGCCGCGCCGACTGCAAGGACTCGCGGCCCGGCCAGTGGGACATCTCCAGCGCTGGCCACATCACCGTCGGAGACTCCTCCCTCTCCTCCGCGCGGTGAGTGAGCTCGCTAGCCTCGCGCTCCTGTTGCTAGCTGTAGCGGACTCGGATGACTGCTGCACGAGGAATCTTACTCCTGTCACAAATAGTCAACTTATGGGATATGTGGTTGCGCATCTGTTCTGCTACTAATAATGGTGTGAGGGGTTGTCAGATCAAATGTGTTCTCCGTTGTCACAAATCGGGTTTCTACTGGCCATCGGCCAACACCCAATCTGTTGTCTCTACTCCTTGCATTATTTTATTCATTTCAGTAGCACTGGAGCAACCTAGTCCCTGTAGGATTTGTTAGCAATGGGGTTGATTAGTTGGATTGTTGGTGTGGATTGTTTTGCCCTTTCTTGCATCTCAACAATTCTAATTACCTAAGACAAAGCTATGTACGCTGCTTAGAATTTCCATGTACAATCCTGATGGGATTAGGAATATGATCATGTCTCCTGTAGAATTGGATTTCTCTGGCTGTTCTGTAAACTGAATTTGGTTCAGTTAAAAAACTGCACTACCTGACAATTTTGGGCTGCGAGCATCTAACTGAAAAACGAGTTCGTTATGCTCATAATTTCAAGTTGGCCTCTACATATGAGTTGTAAAGCATGTTCTAAGGTTTCCGTAGAGTACTTATTTTCTTCTTTTGGATGTACGGTTCGAGAGCAGCCGTCTATTTAGTTTGCTGTCCAGAAATATAATACAGTTTGTAAAAGCCACCAATTCATGATAAGACTTGGTGAGGCTGATGCACATAGCTACTTTCACTACCTTGTTAACAGTGTTGAGGACAAGCCAAATCCTGTATCAGGGTCCTGTTCCTGTAAACATTATGTAAAGATAAAACTCTTCTCTGTCTTGCTTCCTGTGTCTTGCTCATTTAATATAAACATTATGTAGAGCTCTGTTTCTTCTTCTTTTGCTTCCTGTATGTATGTATGTGTCTGACGACGAAGGTGGTTTCTTCATAATTGATTGAGTCTGACAAAGTTGTTCTGAACATTTCTTGAAACAGGGCGAGGCTGGTGATGTCCGTGCGGTGATGTCCCTAGGGTGCCGCCGATGCTTGCCCTGGTCGCCGCGGTGGTGCTTCGACGGCTTCTGGACCCTCTCTTGGATGTGGTGATGGTCACACCATAGTCGTGGTGTGGCTAAGCCTCTACTACGGCTACAACGTCTCTATGGTGAGCTCCTCCCCATTCCTTCTTCTCTGATGTAGCTCCTGCATGGCCTTGGCCATCATTTGGGTTGGATGTAGGGCTCTACTAGTTGCTGCTAGATGTTGTAACCAAGCATCAACTCCTACTGGAGCTCTCTGGTGATAAATTCATGCGGTTCTAGGGTCTTTTAGTAGCTGCCCATGTGTACTTGCTTTATATATGTGCTCCTGTGATGCTCTGGTGATATGGGGTGGCTAATATCAAGATCATGGTGGTGTTGCTGCTTATCTTGTGTGTCTTTGGTGGTGATGGTGTTGACAGCAGTTACACACCTAGCTTGTAACTAATATCCTTACTGCTAATTTACCTCAAGTTTATCTGAACATGGTTGAAATGAGTGCCGCAAATTTTGATGTCTAAAATCAATTTTTACCCCAAGTCCTTAAGTAATTATTTTCATTACATCATAGTTAGCTAAGAATATTGACTTGAATATTTTATATATGCCCTAATGCATGTACACATACGGTTGAGCAAATACCGAGCTGCAGTGGAACAACCTGGAGTTAGAGAACTTCAAGGCCAAGATCAACGAGGTGACCGGCGTTATGGCGGCTGTGTACGGCGGCGACCACAAGTTCTTCCGTGAGTTGGCTCCATCTCCTACCCCTAGCTCCCTCTTTTCTGTTGGACGCATGCTTTGCACCTACACCAGCAGCTTGATTGGTTCGATATACACTAGCAGCAGTACCTCATGTACATGTAATTGGACGCCCAGGGAGTTGTTCTTGTAAATTCTTCCATGTCATGCTCTTTTGTTGGTGCTACTACACATGTTAAATTGTTAGTTGTACCTATTTCCATCTCAAAATACTTATCTTCTTGAACATATGCCTGATGCTTGGTGCATGTAGGATGTGCTCCGTGTGGATATCTATGTATTTGTTAAGATTTTTTAGCACATGCTATGGCCTCAACGATTGTTTATTTTATTTTCGTTCATACATGAGCATAGTTTTTTATTGCCGTCAAGGGGTAAATTGATTTGATCGTTAATATGTGGCTAGATGTGATGTTTTGCAGGTTGAAGGCGCTAAGGTGTTGGAGGCGTGCCTGTACTTGTTGAGCGTTTTATCTTTAGAGTGCTATATTGTGATTGGTGTAATACTGTATGGTTATATTGTGATTGGTGGAATGTAATAAACCTGATTGGTACAATATCGGTGACTTGGCTGTTATTTGAATATATTTTAAATGTGTTCTCTGATTGATATATCATTGAGTTACAAGTTGTGAAAAATTAAGACCTGGTGTTTGGGACCTAGTGCCTAGAAGAATCTGACAATGTGCACCCAGTTGATTAGAATAATCTGAAAATTTAATGTAACAAAAAACAAAGAAACCCCAAAAACTGAAATTATATAGAATGTGAAAAGGCTACATCTTAGAAAGAAAAAAAGGCCGAATCAATGGCCCAAGCCCATGTAGCTAGCAAAAATTAACAGGAAAAATAAATATTAGAAAGGCTGAATTGTTGGGCTCGGCCCATGTAAAACACCGAATTGGACCGGGCTGATTCTTATCCATGTCAGCTTGCCACGCTGGATCCTACGTGGCCTGGGGAGGTTGCTAGTGACCAAAAATTTGGTCGTGGAACCAATGACCTTTTACATATCATAAAGAAGGTCGCTAATTTCAGTTTACGACCGCCAGCTTTTGACCTTGTGTTTTTGGTCACAAAAAGGTCACAAATGAAAACAATGACCTTTCAGTGACCAATAGTGATGGTCGCAAGTTGACATATTTCTTGTAGTGATTACCATAGGGCTCACCTGTCAGCGCGTATATGAAAGACAGAAATGGTAATAAATTAGTGGTCAGTGGGGATTCAAAGTCGTGAGACCTCTAGTTGGCAGTCACTGCCGGTGGGGCGCGGTGATTGGCGGTGGCATGGGGATCGCCGGAGAAAAAG